CAAAATGATCTACAGGTACAATTCAGTGTCAACAGGTTTCTTTTGGAAATTGGCAGGACAATTCTAAAATGCATATGGAAATGCAAAGAATCTAGAATATCCAAAGCAATCTTGGAAAAGTAGAACAAAGTTGGAGAACTTACAATACCTGACTTCAAGGTTTATTACAAAATTAAGACAGTATAGTATACACATAAGGAGAGACAAATAGGTCAATACAACAGAATGGAAAGTCCAGAGTTACACCCAGAGTTAAGCAGTCAATTGGTTTTGACAAAGGTGCTAGAGAAATTCAATAGGGAAAGGCAAGTTTTTTCAAAAATGGTGCTTGTTCAAACAACACAAAAATTAATTTCAGATGGCTCATAGACCTAAACATAAAACTAAATTATCACGCATTTAGAAAAAAAAAAATAGGAGAATATCTTATGATCTGGGGCTATATGAGCAATAACCATAAAAGAAAAATTGATAAACTAGACTTCATCAAAATAAAAACTTCTGCTCATCAAAAGACACATTAAGAAAATGGATAGTCAAGTCATAGACTTTTTTTAAATTGAGGTATAATTGACATATAACATTATATTAGTTTCAGGTGTATACAGACTTTTATTAAGAATACATAATGAACTCTTACAACTTGATAATAAAAAAATTTTTTTTAATGAGCAAAAGATTTGAAAAGACACTTCCCAGTGGAAGTCACACAAATGGCCAATAAGAACATGAAAAAGTGCTCAATGTCATTGGTCATCAAACGAATACTGAAACCACAATGAATACCACTCCATATCCACTAGAATGTTAAAAGAATGACACCACCAAATATTGGCAAAGATGTGGAGCAACTGAAACTCTTATACATTCTTGATGGGAATGCAAAATGGTCCAAATACCTTGGAAAAATATTTGGCCATTTCTTATAAAGTTAAACATGCTCCTACCTCTTTTTTTTTTTTTTTTTTAAAGATTTTATTTATTCATTTTTTTCCCCCCAAAGCCCCAGTAGATAGTTGTATGTCATAGGTTCACATCCTTCTAGTTGCTGTACGTGGGACTCGGCCTCGGGTTGGTCAGAGAAGTGGTGCCTTGGGGCGCACCCGGGATCCGAACCCGGGCCGCCAGCATCAGAGCGCGCGCACTTAACCGCTAAGCCACGGAGCCGGCCCGCTCCTACCTCTTGACTAAGAAATTCCACTCCTAGTTATTTACCCAAGAAAAATAAAAACATAGGTTACAAAAAGACTTGTATAAGAATGTTCATCCCAGCTTTATTTATAAGAGCCAAAATCTGGAAACAGTCCAATGTCCACTAACAGGTGAATGAATAAACAAAGTGTAGTATATTCATAAAATGGAATACTACTCAGCCATAAAAAGGGACAAACTACTGATACACACAACATGGACAAGACTCACAGCAAAGAAGTACATACTATTTAATTCCATTAATGTGAAGCTCTAGAAAGTCATAACTAATCTATGTGAAAAGTGTATATTATAGGATTCCATTTGTAAGAAGTTCTAGAAAGGTAAAACTAATATATGGTAAAAAAAAAAAAAAAAGAACAGTGGTGGCCTCTTTGAGGGGCAGTTAACTGGGAAAGATCACTAGGGGGACTTCTAGGGAGATGGAAATCTTCTTGATAGGGTGTGGTTCATCTGGGGCAATGGAAATGTTCTGTATCTTGATAGGGGTTTATTCACTTTTTAATTGTGCAGTTAAGATATGTACATTTCAACATAGGTACATTTTACCTTAAAAGAACATTTACAATTATTATCATAATTGAAGGGGAGTAGGGAGAGGCACAGATGAAACAAGAACACTGGGATGCTGATAGTTGTGGAAGTTGGGTGATGGACACACGATGGTTCATTATATTATGATTATTTTGTATATGTTTGAAATTTTCCATAATAAAATGTTTTTAAGAAATAAAAAGAAGAATAAATAACAAACTCACTGCCAACAATTGTCAACTCATGGCCAAATTTTTAGTTTTATTTTCAACTCCTTCAACTTCCTTTCCTTCCAGTATGATTTTGCAGCAAATCCTTATTGAGCCCCTGCTCTGATCCAGGCCCTGGGGCCCCCCGACAGAGCAGGAAGCACCAAGTCCTGCTGCCGTGGCGTTCACACTCAGGAGGGGAACAAGTAAACAGTGAATGAACCGTAACTTCAGAGAGCGAGGTTACTATGACAACAATAAAAACCAGTTCTGGCAGAGAGTGACTGGGTGGACGGGGGTCGGGGGGAGTGCTTTATTCAGGTAGTCAAGGAAGGCCTCTCTGAGGGGGTGATATTTAAGCCAAGATGGGAATGATGTGGAAAAGCAGCCATGGGAAGAATCCTCATGCAAAGCAGAGAACAGCAAAGGCCCTGGGGTAGGTCTGAGCAGGACAGGTAGAGTGACAGAGAAGGCCAATGTAGCAGGCACAGTGTGAGGGGGGGGCAGGCAAGACAAGGTGAGGTCTGAATGGGGCAGTGACCAGCCACGCAGACAGGCGCTTGTACTCCAAGTGCGATGAGGACCCTGGAGAGGACTCTGAGCAAGGACACTCCATGTCTCCGAAAATAATTTACATTTTAAGAAGGCCACTTTGTCTGCCCTGTGAAGAATGGGCTGGGAGAGAGGAAGCAGGCAAGAGAGGAAGGAGGAAAAGAACATAGGCGGCTGTGGCAGGGGTGTAGGTAAAAGAAGAGGGTGGCTAAGGCAAGAAGAGAAGTGGGCAGAGTCATGATTCACTTCTGGTGGGGAGCCGGCAGGCCCCGTGGGCGCACCGGCTACAAGGGGTGGAAAGAGGAAGCAGCAATGGCGCTTGGTGGGGCTGAGAGGAAGAGGGCTGGGTGGTGGGGCAGGTTGGTGGGGGAAATCAAGAGTGCCATTTGGGCCCCACTGCATCTGAGAAGACAAGCTGCGATACAGGTAGAAATGCTGCGGAGACATCTGGATCTCCCAGAAATTGATAAACAACCCAATGGATTTCTCTTCACAAGAGAAAAGGCAAACCATCAGGAAACATGAAAAGAGGCTTTATCTCACTAGTATTCAGGTGAACCATTGGCCTTCGCCTTTTCGCCCATCAAATTTGCCCCAGCTTTCTCAGATATTGATGCTGGGAGTGTGAATTGCTGCAATCTTTTTTGGATGATCTGGCAAATAAAAAATGTGCATATCATTTCACTCAGTAATTTCTCTCTTGGGAATTCAGACAAAAGAAATTAAAACACCAGGATATACAAGATTTTTGCTGCCGCACTGTTTGAACTAGCAAAGCACTGAAAAAAATTTGAATGTCCATTAATAGGAAAATGGTTAAATAAATTATGGTTCATTACATTTTGTAATACTGTCAGCTATTAAAGAGCATGTGTGAGAACTATTTATACTGACCTGGAAAGATGTCTGTGGATGTCTGTCCCTTTTCCCTTAAGGAAAAGGGAAAATTATGTAGTAAGGGACTTACATTCAATTTTTGGTTTTGCTTTTTGTGTATATTTTGTTTTTTTGGTGTGTGTGTGTGTGATGGTTGTGACTGGGGGTGTTTATACATTCATACATGTACTTATGTGTGTAAGGACATAGAAGAAGATACCCAACTGCTAATGTTGATCACATCAGAGAAGTAGGATGGAAAGGTGGGAAGAGCAGGTGTAATAACGTTTCTTTTGAAAAATTAAAATGTCTATATACATTAAATATAGACTTTTTCTTTACAAACTTTTGTATTGTTTGACTCCTTTCTGAAATTAAAAACGAAGGATAAATAAGGGTCTAGTATCCAGAACATATTTTTTAAAAAACTCTTACAACTCAACAACAGAAGGCAAACAACCCAATTTAAAAATGGGCAAAGGAGTTGAACAGACATTTCTCCAAAGAAGATATACAAAATTGCCCGCCAACATGAAAAGATGCTCAACGTAATTAGTCACTAGGGAAATGCAAATCAAAACCACTCTGAGATGTCACTTCACACTCCCTAGGATGCTTAGAATTAAAAAAAACAAAAAATGGAAAATAAGTGTGGGTGAGGATGCAGAGAAATTGGAACCCCAGTTAAACACAGAATTACCATATGACCTAAATTTCACTCCTAGGTATATAGCCAAAAGGATGGAAAACAAGTATTCAAACAAATACACATTCATGTTCATAGCAGCACAATTCACAACAGCTGAAAGGTAGAAACAACTCAAAGGTCCTATAGATGGATGAGTAGATAATAACACGTGGTACATGCATACAATGCGACGTTTTTCGCCCACGAAGAGGAATGAAGTTCTGATACATGATACAAGGCGGTTGAACCTCAAAAATATACTAAGTGGAAGAAGCCAGACACAGAAGGTCACATGTATGATTCCATTTGTATGAAATGTCCAGAATAGATAAATCCATAGAGACAGAAAGCAGACTAGCAGTTACCAGGGGCTGGGAGGGAGGGGAGAACAGGGAGCAACTCCTAAACGGATGTAGGATTTCCTTGAGGGTGAGAGAGATGTTTTGGAGCTGGGTAACAGCGGTGTTTGCGCAACACCGTAAATGTACCAAACGCCACTGAATTGTTCATGTTAAAATGGTTAACTTTATGCTGTGAATTTCACTTCAGTTAAAAACAGAGAAGAAAATAATAAAGATCAGCTCGCTGGCGCAGGTCCGAGAGCAGGCAGACGTCTCTCCTGCCGGCCCCTCCTTGGGGCGGCGCATCCGCCTGCCCCGCGGCCCCAGTCAGTGCTGCGGCTCAAGGACCCAGAGGGCACGTGGGCTGAGGGACGACAACAGGGCTATCAGAGAGCAGGGTATCAGGAGCCACAGACAGACAGGCGTACAGGAGACTCGACTCCCGGTATTGCCACCCCTGCCCGGTCAAGCAGCTCGGCCCAGGCTCGGGGCTGAGGCGGACGCGCGCCGGCCGTGGGGTCAGGGCGGGGCTTGGGGGCGGAAACCGGAACCCCTCAGCCGCGGCGCCTGTTTCCGGGGGGAGCGTGGATCCCGACGGCAAAGTCCGCCACGCTAGGAAGCCGGCGTCCGGAATCTCTTTTGGCAGTGGGTCTTGGCGGCGTGGGGGCGGCGGGGGTATGAGGCAGAAGCACTACCTTGAGGCTGCGGCGTGGAAGCTGCGAGACAGCTGCCCGGGCCAGGCCCGCTATCTCCTGTAAGAGAGGGACCGGCGGGGCAGCGGGGGCGAGCGGCGAGGAGGTTCCCCTGGTCCTCACGGTCTCTTTCTCTTTTGCAGCTGGGCCTACACTTCGTCACACGGTGAGGACGCCGCCGGTGTGGGTCAGTCTGTCGCCCCCTCCCCTCCCTTCCGCACAGCGCTCAGAGGGATCCAGAAGAGAAATCTGATCGACCCCCTGCCCTCGTAACCCTCAGACGCTTCCCAGTTTCTGAAAAATCCGAATCCCCTGATGTGCCTTACCTCGCCTAATCTGTTAGTGGCATTTGATGCGTTGATCAGTCTTCTCGAAATAGTTTACTCTCTTGGTTTCCAGGTCACCACGTAGTTCACTCCTGCCTCTTTAGCCAGTACTTCTCGGTCGGCTTTGCTGATTGCTCCTAATTTCCCCAGCTTCTGTAAATGTTGGAGTCCCAGGACACGGCCCTCGGACCTCTTTTCTAGCTACACTCGCTTCGTTGGTGACCCTTTTTCATCCAATCGCATGGCTTTTAAATTCTGTATACTGGGGACTTACAGATTTATATCCTCAGCCCAGACCTCTCCCCAGAATTCTAGACTCTTATTCAGATACCTTCCTGACAACTTCTTTTGAATGTCCATTAGGCCAAAATCCAAGCTTTCCCCCCAACACGGCCCTCTTCCATTTCTTCCTACTTCAGTAAATGGTAACTCCATCCTTTGAGTTATTCAGCCCCAAAACCTGAGGCCATTCTTGACCCTAACAGCCTTCCTCCCCAAGCCAATATGCCAGCAAATCCTGTTGGCTTTAAAATATATCCCAGATCTAGCCGCTTCTCACCGCATCACCTTAGCACCTTGATCCAAGCCATCAGTCTGTCCCCTGGCTTACTGCCAGCAGCTCCCAGTGCATTTCTACAGGCCACTCAATCCAGCAGCCAAAGTGAGCCTAATGAAAACCTAGGCTAGACCACGTCACTTCTCTGCTACAGACTCTCAAATGACTTCCGATCCCAGAGGAAAAGTGAAAATCTTTTAAAAGGACTACAAGGCCCTAAATCATAGGCCCACATTACCTCTCTGACCTGCTCTCCTTTTTGTTCTCTTAACTCCACTCACTACTAGGCCTCCTTGCTGTCTCAGGGCCTTTGTGGCTGCCCTTCCTTCTGCCTGGAAGTCTTCACACGTCTGCTTGGATTCCTCCCCTGCTTCCTTCTGGTCTCTGCAAACCTCAGTCCACAAAGCCATCTCTGGCTGCCATATTTAAGATTACAGCAGCTGCATCGCCATTCCCTATTCCCCTTTCCTGTCTTACTTTTTTCTTCCCAGCACTTAACATTGTTATTTACTGTCTCTCTCTGTGGACTGTCATTTGTTCACTGCTGTATCTCCAGCACCCAGAACAGTGCTTGGCACTTAACAGTCACTCAGTAAAGATGAATGAACTTTACATTTGGCAGAGCTACGCTACAAGCATGGTCCTTAGCTCTTTGTAGTGCTGTTGTATCCCTAGCACTTAGCACAGTGCTCCCCAATAAATATTGATTGAGTAAACAGATGGTGTGCCCACCTTCCTTTTCAACTGCATTACCTTCACACCCCTACCTTTCCCTGAATAGCTATGCTTTCTTTTTCACTGTACTTCTACCTGAAAGCTCTTTACCAGTAATGGCTGCCATTTCCAAATACAGATAGAATTTAGTTATCTATGATGACCTTTGTCAAGCCTCCTCTTTGATGTGTTTCTGGCTGGTCCATGCAGAGTTTAATAATTTCCAGGGCATTTTAATCATATTCTGTTATAGTTCTTACCAGTCTTACCTTCATTTGCATAAGGCTTCCCTAGAATGTGAGTTCTTTAAAGATAGCAACTCTTTTCCATATTTGTGTCTCCACAGCGTAGCGTGGTAGATGGTCCGTGAATGCTTTCTTGATTGTATAAAGGGTCTGCGGCAAGTCTGCTGTCCTGTTACCTTGTATTGAGAGAGCTACCTGCAGACAAAGCCCAGGCCACACAGCACAAAACTGTGCTAATTGTTTAAAAAAGAAACAAAATCACAGTATAATTTATTTAGTGATAAATGTGTTTGTAAAATTGGTGAGACATACAGCCTTTTTTACTTAGTAGCAAGTAATGAGTAACGTAGCAAAGAGTGGGGCCTTACAGAGTGGCTAAAAATAGTGAATGGATAGAATTATAGTGTTTTGCAAAAGAAACTGCCAGTTTATCATTTTATAAATTGTCATATTTTGAGTTTCCTTGAGAATGTATATCTGCTCATATTAAATAATAAACTTTTTCACATTTATAATATTGGCAGTTTGAGTTAACAAATATTCTGATTTGCTGAATCATGAATTTCATTTGTATAATTTTAGATGATAAAAGTGCTTTTGAAGGAACATGTCCATACTGTTTCCAGTTGCTGGTTCTGGATAACTCTCGAGTGCGCCTCAAACCCAAGCCCAAACTGACACCCAGAATACAGAAACTTCTTAATCGAGAAGCAAGAAATTATACACTCAGTTTTAAAGAAGCAAAAATTGTGAAAAAGTACAAAGACTCCAAAAGTGTACTGGTAAGATTTCAATTCTAGTATGTATAAATAAACTAGAATTTTCTTTTCTTTCAGTTAAAATGAGGTTGATTAAGAATCAGCCTGAATATAACTCAGAGGTTTGTAGTAGTATATTTAGATTGTCAAAATATATACATAAAAATTTCTTCTAGTGATTCCTGTTTCATCAAAAGTACAGCTTATTTTTTGTTTTTCACAGTTAGCTAAAACCAAACATCGTGAGCTCTCAATTGTTCACAGATCTCATTGTTGAGCACAACTACTTTCACAAATTTGAGGATTTCTTGAGCTGACCAATGTGACTTCACCTGAATTGCAGTTACCACTAAATTATTTTTTCAGTTAATGGTCCTTGTTTTCAAACAGCAGTACCTTATGTATTAGGTACCAGTGTCACTTCTTCAGTCATTCCCCCACTCCATGTCAGAGTATGTATTTAAGTTTATGCCCAACAAAAGTAAATGCACCTTATGTTCACTCATTAAACATTTTTTGAGGGTCTATCTTATGCCATACAACATTAAGTACTGGTGATATAAAATGGAATAAAACAACCAAAATCAAATTACTTAGTTTACTATATAGAGACCAGTATCAGATACATTTAATGTGTATGTTCTATGTTAACCTTTATCAACTATTTGAGTGCCTGCTTATTATCAGGCACTGTGCTGGGCACTGGACATTATGACAGCTTATGTCTGGCCCAAGACTACAATCAGTATTAACTTGGATCGGAACTGCCATATTTAGGAGTTTACCAGTATTGGACAGGTAAGTGTTTTTTGCTTTGTCACAAAATTGACTGTTGATTAATCTATATCCAGCCTCTTCAAAAAGTATAAAGCAGCTTACACAGACCTTTGATATATGCAGATCTTCCATTTGATTTTTCATCTGCTTGTGAACATCAGAGTACTTCTCAGCTAAGCTAGTTTGTATTAATTTTGTTGAGGCCTGGCCTGAATCCTGTGCATTAGATATGTAGAAGAAAGGCATTTAGCTATAAAATGGACCATTTCTTGAAAAATGAATCCTGAAAAGAAAGTCAACATGTAGGGTTAATGAAGTGAAGAGACTGGAAAATGTGAGAATTCATTTGACTGGTTTTATAAATTACTTTAGATCTAAATTTACAGAATCACTAAGGGTTAAGTCACTAAGGAGTGACTTAAATTTTCAGTGATAGTTTGCCATGTTTTGTTGGGAAAGGGCTTGGAGTTCATCTGCAAAAAATGTGAAATGCCTACTCCTATTAGAAAGAACATCCTTCCAGACGTTAAAGGGTATCATTCCCCGTCTCCTCTATTGCTCCCAAACACAGTTGCACACTGAGAAAGTAGAGACTTTGTTATCTTTAAAAAAGTGTTTTAAATTAAATACAAACGTTTAGCCATTAACTTTTTGTTGAAGACTTTCTCATTTTAAATTTGTGTCTTGTTTCATTCCTGCTGCTATATTACAAGCTCACGGAGGGCAGTCTCTTACTCACCCTGTAGTACTTGGTGTAGTCCCTTACAGAACAGAATTGAATGAACATGTGGTTTATTGGATTAAATTATAAGAGAAATCAGGCCCAATATTTCTTCTTTTTATGGTAGTTGATTACTTGTAAAACATGCAACAGAACAGTGAAACATCATGGTAAAAGCAGAAGCTTTCTGTCAGCACTGAAGAGCAGTCCTACCACTCCTACAAGTAAACTCAGCCTGAAGACACCAGAGAGAAAGACTCTAAGTTCTGCACACCTAAATCATGATATGTCTGGTTCCAAAGACAAGAGCCCAGCATTGATTTTCAGGTATCTTAATTCGTTAAGCTATTTGAATTGCCACTGTTAACCCCTGAGTATTTCTTGTAATTTCCTCTATTTAATATACACTCCCTAAATTTGCCATGCAATTCAGACTTTGGCCCCCATTTTTACTCTATACTCTTTCTTCTCTAATGTCATATACTCCCATATCTGCCATTCTCATCTCTGCATATGGCTTCCAGGTATATTCCTCTACTTCCAGCCTCTCCCTGGGCCTGTTCCCAGCTGCCTTAAATATATCCACTTCACCCCCCACCCCCTCCCCCACGTCCCCACAGCTAACTACTCAAACCTGCGCATCCTCCCAAGTTCCTTATTCTGTGAATGAACATGCCCTTCTAGACGTTCTGACCTGAAATGGTGAGTACAGCTGACAGCTCTTACTCTGCTCCGTTGGTCCTTGTCCAGTTGGTCACCAGTTTCTTTCTATCCTACTTCCATGGTGCTTGCATCTGTTCCCGCCTTTTTCTCCCTCCTGCTGCCATCTCTTCGTCTTTATTCACCTTTTGCCCAGGCTACTACAATATTTCCTGCGTCTTCCTGCTTCTAGTTTCAAACCTTTCTAGTTTGATAATTTTCCTAAAGCACAGCTCTGATTAGAAGCCGTTAGCACCTCACTCTGTAGCATATGGGTCAAATGCTCCAGCGTGGCTTTCCAGCCCTCACTGTCTAGCACCAGTCTGTCTGTCTGTCTGGCTTTGCCTTAATTCATCCTGTGTGTCAGCAGAACTGAGCCACTCAGTTTACTTTCCTGCTCTAAAGCTTTGTTCTTGCCATTTCCTCTATCAGAAATTCCTGTGGAAATCTAACTGAATAGGGATTTGTCAAATGATACTAAGTTAACTATATGACTGGGCACGTGTTTTATTTTTAGTACTCCTCAATACTTTATTCACTATGATAGTCAATAGATTTAATTCCATAGACACTGAAAGGAATTTTTAAATGGTTTGTTACAAAAGAGAAACTGAGTCTGGTAGTTTCTTAAACATAACAAAATTCAGCAAGGACTGGATTATCTCTGCTTACTGAATTGAGTTTTTTATATTGGGTTTGACTTTTATAAAATTGGGTAAGAATTAAAATTTCAAGTCCAGTTTTCTCTATATCCTTGATTTAATTATTTTGATATTTTGTATGGTAGGAATTCATCATATAAGTTTCCACTTTATTGGATAAATGTAGATAAAATAAAATTTGGCATATTTAAAATAATTCACTTGCATTTAGACCAGACTGCTTTTTAGATATATGTGGGAATGAAGTATTACATATTTATCTTACAGATGGGGAGTTAGCAAGAGAGACTGACAAACTCCAAATAAGGATTTGTGGGGGTGGAACACAATTGGAGGGAATGAAATAGAATGAAGCATAAATACGCACATACCAGATGGGAATCATCTATTCAATGGATATTTTTAGAGGGCCTTCTCTGTGCCTGGCACTGTTAAAAAGCACTGGAATATAGAATTAGTAGTATAAAGTGTCTGCCCTATGGAGCTTAATTTCTAGGGAGGCAGATACAATGGAATGGTACCTACATGTGTAGGTTCAGATCCTTCACTTTTGAGAAAGGAAGTGGTCTTGAGCTGTGAGGAAGAAATGTGTTTTTAAAGTCCTTGCTTAGAATTGTCATGAATCTTGATGTCAGACTTAAAGGGAACTCAGGTGTGATAGAAACTTCCAGAACCACCCAAAATACCTCCTAAATGTTGCCTGTAGCCTATTTAGTGAGGAGATTTTTAACAAAATGGGAATGACTGTGCTGGGTACAGCCACTGCTTGTATGTGGCCATAATACAGAAGAGTAGAAAACGATTCCAAGTAGCAGTTATCTAGGCTAAGCAGGAAGAACACTTTTTAAACTGTCAGTGTCAGTATACCTAAGTGTGGTTTTATGTTTCTTTTCAGAACACCTACATCTGGACAGTCAACACCCACTTGCTCCTCAAGAAATGTGAGCAAAACAAAGAAACACTTCTCTCAACTAAAAATGTTGCTTAGTCAGAGTGAATCCCAGAAGAATCCAAAGGTGGACTTCAGAAGTTTCTTATCTTCTTTATAAAACATGGACTGTGAAAATAAAAAATGTTGGAGGCCAGCCCCGTGGCTTAGTGATTAAGTGCGCATGCCCCGCTACTGGTGACCCAGGTTCGTATCCGGGCGCGCACCAACGCACCGCTTCTTCGGCCATGCTGAGGCAGCGTCCCACATACAGCAACTAGCAGGATGTGCAACTATGACATACAACTATCTACTGGGGCTTTGGGGGGGGAAAGGGGGAAAAAGAGGAGGACTGGCAATAGATGTTAGCTCAGGGCCGGTCTTCCTCAGCAAAAAGAGGAGGATTAGCATGGATGTTAGCTCAGGGCTGATCTTCCTCACAAAAAAAAAAAAAAATTTTTTATGCAGTTTCTGAAACTAAAGTTACTCAGAAAAAAACAGCTTTTTTTAAAACTTTTATTTATTCTTTAAATACATGGAAACTAGGGTCCAGGAGCAAACTTGTCTTGGCATTCTTCAGTGTTTAGGGAGAAAATATCTCATTAGAATGAATAACTGAAACCTGCCTATCTCACAGGGTAGTTATGAGGATCAAAAATACATGAAATGTCCTTGTAAATAGTAAAGATATATATGGATATTAAGTGGTTATATTATTATTTTCTCTTCCCTTAATTAGCAGTTTTCATTATGTCATTTTATTTCATAAGGAAATTGAGACCTTTATGAGAAAATCTACTCACTCCTTTCCAGGTGTCTATACCCTTATTGCTAATTCAGAAAAAGGATCACGTATGTGTGTCCTAGTTTTCCCACACTCATCTGTGTTAACTATATATTAGTAAAATCTTAACATTACTCCTATTTTGCATGCAGAAGTAAATATATGGGCCATTCTTGACTGTAGATGATTTAATCAGATACCGAAATTTTCATTTTTGCAACTTTCTATAGTAGTACTTCACCAGAAGTGGCATTTCATTTTCTCTGGTGAAGACTTATTTCTAGGTCTCAAATTTATACCAGAACATAACAAAGTAACAGTTTAGCTACTTTAACTCTTTTCTGGAACACAGATATACTTTTTTAAAATGATAGGCTAGGATTTTATTCAACCTTTTTTTTTTTTTCGCTGAGGAAGATTGGCCCTGGGCTAACATCCGTGCCCATCTTCCTCTACTGTGTATGTGGGATGCCTGCTGCAGCATGGCTTGATAAGCAGTGTGTAGGTCTGCATCCAGGATCTGAACCCGTGAACCCTGGGCTGGCTGCCGAAGCAGAGTGCGCGAATTTACCCACTATGCCACTGGGCCAGCGGCCCCTTCAACCTATCATTTAAAAACTCTTTAAATAAATAATTTAGATACTTTAACTATAATCTGTTTCCAAGCCTCTCTGCTCCTTTCAAGTTTAGAACTTAAATTTTCCTGCATTAGGGCTTGGCAGACTGAAAGGCCCAAGTTATTCACAAGAGTTTGTCTTGTAGTTGTGTGAAGTGAAATTATACTAACGAGTGCCAGCATCAAAGAGGGATGGCAAGGGTCATCATTCTGAACTTCTTTAGACTGTGAGCCACAGGCTGCGGGAGCTGGGCCTTCCCTTGTGTCGACAGCATCTAGCACAGTACTTTGGTCATGAGAGATACTCTACCTTTCTGACTAACTGCTCACTGGAACATCTTGAACTCTTGCTCTTCTATTCGCTTACCCCTCTCCCTGATCACCCAGTCATAGTGAGCTCTTGGTAGTTCTTAGAACATGTCATTTTCTTGCCAGCTTTGGGCCTTTGTACCTGGTTTTGGAGACTGCCCTCCACTCCAACCCCACTGCATTATGAGGGGCCACTCTTTTATCATAGCGCTGGTGATCCTGCAGTTTCCGGTTTCTGCCTGGGTGATCTCACTAACTGTGCCCCCAGCACCTAGTTTCTTGCCTAGCACACAGCACAAGCTCTGCAAATATTTCTAAGCTACTACATTTAAATTTGAACTTCTTAGCCCACTTGTTCCACACTATGTTTAGAACTAAGGTTCTTTCCAGCCATATGACTGAGAATTGGATAAGTAGTAAAAGTAGGAACTCCTAGGTGGGCAGTTGTTTACATTACCTCAGTTGCAAATGAAGGACACGGATTTTTAACATTCCTTTCTGTGGCAGAAGGGTCTTTGGGCATCTCTCAAGAGAAGGTTAAAATTATAGTGTGGACATAAAACTCTTAGTAGAAAACACAGGAGTAAAACCCTGGAGTAAGCAGTGGTTGCTTAGATATAACACTGAAAGCACAAGCAACAAAAGAAAAAACAGATAAATTGGACTTCATCACAATTAAAAACTTATGTGCTTCAAATAAAGACACTACCAAGAAAGTAAAAAGATAACCCACTGAATGGGAGAAAATATGCAAATCATGAATCTGTTAAGGGGACTATATCCATCATTACAAAGACTTCTTTAAATAATAAAAAGACAAAAACATGGACAAAGAATCTGAGCATACAGTTCTCCAAAGAAAATAATAAACAAATGGCCAACAAGCACATGAAAAGATGCTCAACATCTAACAGTCTTTAGGAAAATACAAATCAAAACAATGAGATACCACTTCATACCCACTGAGTTGGCTAAAATTACAAAGATAACAAGTATTGGCAAGAATGTGGTAAAACTGGAACTTTCACACATTGCTCCTGGGATTGTAAAATCCTGCAACCATTTTAGAAGAGTTGGGCAGGTCTTCAAAAAGTTAAACAGTTACCATATGACCCAACAATTCCACTCCTAGGTATATACCCATGGGGACTGAAAACATGTCTACATAAAATCTTGTATATGAATATCCACAGAAACATTATTTATAATAGCCAAAAAATGGAAACAACCCAAATGTCCATCAACTATTCAGTGGATACATAAAATGTGATATATCCGTACAGTGGAATATCATTCAGCCATAAAAGTGAACTACTGATATATGCTAGAACATGGACGAACCTTGAAAACAAGTAAAAGAACCAGGTACAAAAGGCCACATAGTGTATGATTCAATTTATATGGAATGCTCAGAATAGGAAAATACATAGAAACACATTAGTGGTTGCCTAAGACTGGGAGGAATGGGGAGTAACTGCTAATGAGTACAGGGTTTTTTAGAGTGATGAAAATGTTCTGGAATTAGTAGCAATGGTTCCATAACTCTGAATACACTAAAAACCACTGAATTCTACACTTTTTTGAACGGGTGAATTTCATGGTGTTTGAATTATATCTCAGTAAAGCTGTTCTTAAAAAAATGAAAATAAATAAACATTACCTAAAAAAAATTACAGCATAGACACTTAGGTTTGACTGAAAATGAATCTTGTAAAGAGAAGCAGCAAATGTGCAATGTAGGTCTCTTCTGACACATGGGCCTGGTGAGATTCATGCCTGTGTCCCTCCCAGTCTAAGCTCTGTAAGGGCTGTAACCCCAGGGCGTAGCTCAGCTAGACAGTGTTCAGTATGCTTCTATCTGTCCTGGGACTAAACTTACAATTAAATATAAATAGGAATTTTTCTGAATAAAAATCAACTTGCATATAATACTAGTTCTCTTTTAAAAAATATCATGGAGAGGTTGGCCCGTGGCATAGTGGTTAAGTGCGTGTGCTCTGCTGCTGGCGGCCCGGGTTCAGATCCCGGGCGCGCACCGAGGCACCGCTTCTCCGGCCATGCTGTGGCGGCGTCCCACATAAAGCAACTAGAAGGATGTGCAACTATGACATACAACTATCTACTGGGGCTTTGGGGGAAAAAAAGGAGGAGGATTGGCATGGATGTTAGCCCAAGGCTGATCTTCCTCATAAAAAAATAAAAATAAAAAAATAAATAAAAAATATCATGGAGACAATTTTTCACAGGCTACTAGTTTTAATTAAGTACAATTCTTATTTTCTATTTTGATGCTCAAATTATTACATCTTGGCCAATGAAAGCCCCTTTTATTTAAGCAGGCTTCTTTATTCTTTCAACCCCATCAGAACTTTGAAAACATCCTCCTTGCTTTTTTGCAAAGCTGAAGACCATTTTCATTCTCTCAGCCCTAAGACATGGAAGAAGCTACTCTCCAAGAAACTCTGCTACTCTTGAGCAGAAATTAGTAGTGACACCAGAAGCAGAATGTGAGGGATACTTTTACTGAGGGATAGTAATGATATTGCTACACTAGACAACTCCAGAGGCAGAGCTGGAAAAGATAAATTCTTAAAAACTCTGAGCTCTCATATTTAAAATTTAACTCTTAACATACCAAATGCCTATTTGAATGTTTCAACCCTTCACCAAATAATAGTACCTTTTCTTTTATAATTTGATAAACCATAAAATTATTCCTTTAAAATTTTTTTTGTTTTTGAGGAAGATTGGCCCTGTGTGAATGTCTGTTGCCAATCTTCCTTTTTTTTTTTTTCTTCTTTCTTCTCTCCAAAGCCCCAGTACATAGTTGTGTATCATACTGTAGAGTTGTAGCTCTTCTATGTGGGACGCCATCTCAGCATGGCTTGCTGAGCGGTGAGTAGATCCGCGCCCGGGATCCGAACCAGTGAACCCTGGGCTGCCGAAGCGGAAGGCGCGAACTTAACTGCTGTGCCACCGGGCTGGCCCCTAAAATGCTTAATTCTGACTAAGAATTACTTGTTCGGGAGGCAGTACAGCCTACTGGTTAAGATTGTAGTCTTTGTGGTCCTGCCTTGCCAAACCTGGCTGTGTCATTTATTAACTGTGTAATCTTTGGCAAATTCTTAATTTCTCTGTTTCCTCATATGTAAAATGAGGGTAATAATAGTACTTACCTCATGAAGATGCTGTGAGGACTCAATGAAATGGTACATGAAAAACACCTAGAAGAGTGGATGGCATTTTGAAAGTGCTCAAGCACTTTCTGCTATTATATAATTAATCAGAAATCTATAAAATGATTATCAACACCAACAATAAGATCTAGCCTATGGTGGCTGTCCTTTGAATGCCTCTCACTAATGATGTAGGCACATTGTTTTGAGGTATTTATAAAAACTTTTTTTGTGATTATATTGACAAAGACTCTTCTTTACCAAACTTCAGACAGGCTTCTCTGAGCCCTCTTTTCTACCAGGCCTTTTCCTTGGGCTCTGTCTTGGGCCTGCCTAGCCCAGTTTTAGAAAGAATCTTGCTAAGGCAGTTTAGTGAGAAATCCCCCACCCTTGATATCTGATCACCCTGGCCTGTCTTCAGCAAGAATCCTGTTAAGTCAGTTTAGCAAGAATCCCCCTACTCTTGATAATTTTCCATCCACTGACCCCCTCACTCTGCTCCTTGGCTATAAATCCCAGCTGTCTTTGACATATTTGGAGTTGAGACCCATCTTTCTCCCCTATTAGGATAGTCCTTATACCTACTGCAAAAATCCTGAATAAAGTCTTCCTTACCCTTTTAACAAGTGGTGGAATAATTTTTTCTTTAACAATATCAACGCCAGTCTGATACATCTTCAGTTTAGTTATTTAAGTTCATGTTCAGTTCTAGGCAGTTTGGTGTTCTAATAAGTGATAGACTTACTTATGTGACTGCTTACTTGGTGACTGCTTTCTTGAGGTGGTATGTAGGTACTGGAGGTTAAGGGAAGTCTGATCTATGAATTCACTTTATGAAATGCAGAAAATCCAAATGTTTCAGTCTCCAAAGTTCTGTAGAAGGGGTCCTTCCAGCCTCAGTTGGGTATTCCTGTAATGGCTCAATCCATAGTTGTAAGTACAAGATTTATATACACACGTTTCTCTGGCATAATTCCAAATCATCTTTTACTTTTCTCAAGGACAGAAACTGTAGCAACACTTTTAGAATCAACATATTCTTTTAATAAATTGAGCATCACAAAATGTTGGTTATTAGTTTGGGTACAATTATCAATTGTCATTAAAGTTTACAGACAAAAGAATGTAATGGTACAGGTATTTAAAGTATACAGTTTTTGATATATTCAATTCAGCCTTATTAAGTCCTTTTAACTTTATCTTGATATGAAATCTTTTATCTTTATCTTTTCAGACCTATCAGGTTTTTTTTTTTTTTTTGAGGAAGATTGGCCCTGAGCTACACCTGTTGCCAATTTTCC